GCTTGCAGAACCACTAAAAGTAAAAAAAGATGCATAACTAATATTAAGGAACACACGAATAAAGATTTTACTATTAGGGACCAACTAACATGTTTCTCGAAAGGAGTAATCTACATATTAAAATGTCCTTGTAACTTACTTTATATAGGTAGAACTATAAGATGTGTACATACGAGAATTTCAGAACACATACGAAATATTAAGAAAGGACTAGAGACACACAGTGTATCCAACCATTTTAAAACCCACCATAATCAAGATCCCGAGAAGCTTTTTTTCTGCCCATTAAAATTGGTAAAAAGAGATTGGAGGGGAGGAGATTTTAATAAAAAAATTGGAATAGAAGAAATGAGATGTATATACAACTTTAATACCCTCATACCATATGGGTTAAATTCAGATTTCGAGATGTGTCATTTTTTTTAAAGATCATTAATATGGAATGCCATTGATGTTTTTAACAGTAATATGATATATTCTATTTATTTTTTTACATTATCCTAATATGATATTTGGATTTTATATTGCATAATATAGGTCTGGGGAATTTGTCACTTTAGATATAATTAATAATTAATTTCTAAATACAAATGTCAAAAAACTTTGCAATTTAAGAATTTCTGATTAATAATCAATAAGTACATTAAGGCACATTAATCACCATCTCAAGTTAAGAGCATGATCACCATAGCATGATTATTAATGGTGTAGGGTATCTCACTATATGGATTAGAAAATATATATTTCCATTTACAGTGCATGTATTTTTTACAGGAATTGAATATCATATGTAGGAAAAATATTTTATGTTTTTTAAGAAGGTATATATTATGATATTCTAGTGCCCCACTATCATGTTATGGAACGCAAAGCTAATTCAGCTTTGCGCCCCGATAATATGGAGATGGGCTCTGAGAACGCATCGTAACGAAGTTTGGAACGCACGTTGCGTTCCAGCGACATCATTACCCCAATCCGGAAGTGAAACCGCGAACCCGGAAGCGGAATCGTAAACTACAGCCGCAGTTGGAACGCATGATGCGTTCCAAAGAGAAATCAGCCGGAACCCGGAAGTAAAGACATACAGGGGATAAAAGAACGCTTGACTGCAATGAACATTTATTTATACCGATTGAAAAAGCCCCCGGAGGGGCGAAACGCGTTTCGGTTACCATTGAACTTTATAGCCATTTGGCAGGACTCACAAATATAGTATATAGCTATATATTTTGTGCTTTCGATTATTTTTTAATAATGTAATTTTACTATCTTTTTTATATACAATAAAAGTACTTTTTTATTAAGATCCACATTGGATTCTGGACCTCATTCCAATTTGAATAATCAACAGCTCATGTGGAAGTAGGAGTGGGACATCCTTTCGAATAGTCCCAAGGCGATATTCATGGGAGCCATATGAGATTTGGCTCCAGGCTTGTGAGTACCAGACTTCACTTCCTCAACATTTTATTTTACCAGACAATATTACACTATTACGTGCTTTGTTTATCTCTTTCAGACGTATTTTAAGTGTGACCTACCCTCTACATTGTATGTAATTACTCAAACAGGGCTGAGCTCTATCATTTGGCCGCTGGCGCCCGGTGCACTCACACTAACTGTGTCTGCATCTGATTCCAGTTCCATTAGGCAGGGCATGGGCGCAACATCCGTGCGCTCAGCCCCCTGCCCTGTGAGTGAGGAGATGTGAGAGGGAGGGAGAAACGAAGGAAACTCCGTCCCCTGTCCTGTGAGTAGGGAAAGCTGAGAGGGAGGGACCAAGGAACGAACTCCGCCCTTACCCTATGAGTGGGGAGATGTGAGAGGGAGGGACCAGGGAAGGAAGGGGGGCTGGGCGGCAGGCATCTACAGGGTCTCTCCCAATAGGCCCTTCACTGGAGCACTTTGGAGGTCAGGTGGAGTCTCCATTCTATTACAAGAATCTTGTCAGTTCTTAACTGGGGATTATTCTCTAAACAGCTTGCGGTGAGTGCCAGTGGATGTATGCATGCCAGTGAGCTTGAGTGTGTCAGTGTTAGCTTGTGTATAGTGAGCTTGTATGTGTGTCAGTGTGAGCTTGTGTATAGTGAACTTGAGTGTAGTGAGCTTGAGTGTGTGTGTATAATGAGCTTGAGTATAGTGAGCTTGAGTGTGTCAGTGTGAGCTTGTGTATAGTGAGCTTGTATCTGTTTCGGTGGGAGCTTGTGTATAGTGAGCTTGTCTGTATGTCAGTGTGAGCTTGTCTGTGCGTCAGTGTGAGCTTGTGTATAGTGAGCTTGGCTGTGTCTGTGTGAGCTTGTCTATAGTGAGCTTGAGTGTGGGAGTGAGCTTTTGTCTGCATGTGTATGTTAGTGAGCTTGTGTGTGAGCGCATAAGTGAAATTGTCTGTAATGAAATTATGTGTGGTCAGCTTGTGTGTGTGTTAGATAGCTTGTGAGTATGATCTTGCTTGTGTATTTGTGTTTGTGCGATACCACACCAATTTTGAAGCATATGTAAGCGTGGTTTGTGTGATGTTACACCGTTAGTGGAGGGTATGGGGCAGCAAAATATTGTTTGCCTAGGGCAACAAAAATTCTTGCACTGGCCCTGGCCATACGCTCTCAAAGACAACATAGGCCCAGCAAACCAATCTAGCTATTTGCAATGTGTAAAAACATAAATGGGCAAGCACTATATTTAACCCTGTAACTTTCCAAAACCCCATAAAACCTGTAAATGGGGGGTACTGTTGCACTCATGAGACATCGCTGAACACAAATATTAGTATTTGAGAGTAGTAAAATTTATAATGTAACTTTCCAAAACACTACGAAACCTGTAAATGGGCTGCATCGTTGTACTCGGGGGACATAACAGTATAGAAATATGTGTTTTATTGCAGTAAAAACTAACAGATTTATGGCATTCCTAGTTAAAATGTCATGCGGCGGGGCGAGGCTTGACTGGCATGGTGAGCAGTCGCATGCAGCATGTCCTCCGGGAGCCATCTTCAAATAAAATCTTCTAAATGGACTCTTGCTACACAAATTCGACACTAGCAGACCCTGAAGTGACTCTACAATCCCAGGGCTACTAACCTGGCTGCTGGCTCCCCATTGATCGGTCAACAGCTCACTAGAGCAAGCTTGAGGCCTGGTTGCGGCCTACCTCGCAGCACTGGAGTGAGGGGGGCGACTGACCCCTCTATCCACAAACTACTGAGAATGACCTGGTGAGATACCCCGATTTCCCCCCCCCCTCTGCCGGTGAGGAACAACCCGGCACCTCACGCTGCATCCCTACCCCCGGGACTGACCTGTGCACACTGTACACCCACCAGGACTCAGACTCGGCACCCCATAAGGAGACGGAACGCAACCCTGAGGGGCAAAACCGGAGCCTAATGGAGGCTTTTGACCACATCTACGCTGCATTTTGGGAGCAGATCAGACTCCGCGCAGGAACAGCAGTAGCCCTCTCCTCACAGACGGCAGACACAGCCACTCCTAAGCACGGCACGCTAGAGGGGAACGGTGAACCCCCTAAACAGCAGCCACACTCATTTGGCCGTCCGATGCTGAAAATCGAGGGGAGACGGGGCCCACAGCGCAAACGACGCATCAGCGCCCTACAGAGGAGTCAGAAGAGGCGCACGCGAACCTTAACACGGAAGGGCTGCTCCACACACAGGCATGGCGCCCCAACATCCCAGGGACCGGCACTCAGACTCAACTGCCTCTCCATAACAGCTGACAGAGTCACCCCTCACCTACCCAGCTGGAGCACAAGGAGGCGACCATTCTCCGACCTAAACGCAATGCTTGCGATCTCCCTGCACCCACAGGCTCGCTGACCTCCACACTGGCGCGAAAACCTGATCGACATGCGGCAGGACTGGCTTGCACCTCCTGAAGGCATAGGCTGATAGGGGAGGCATTACAGGACTCTATGGGACTCATGGCACTGGACTAACACAGACATACACCTGCATGAGCTTGAAACTACAGTATGACCACTGTATACTCCTTGTTGTTTTTTGTTTTTCTTCTTTCTATTTGAACCCAATGACCATACAGCATGTTCTTAGCATAACCCTTAGAGAACCCAAAAGTGCCACAAGAGGGATCTCCCGGGGGGATGTAGCAGATAGTTGCTAGACGTATCAACCTTGTCTGCTCAAGCTTGCTCATATATAACCCTTAAATCTAATGTCAGCAAGTGAATATGTTACAGTCTCTCAAAATCTTATATCAGAGCTGACCTTGTGATTAATCTACGTTATTTCATAAAATGTGCAATGTTATTTTATGCCACACAATTGTTCTTCTAATGTTTAATGAGTGTGCAAATCTGTTATATTGCGCATGTGAAACCTACTATTTGAGCAACCGCTAACTCACCATTGCACCCATATCTTAAACAACTGTTTTGTATTTTTTTTTTTTAAATAAAAAAAAATATGTCAGTCTTTTGTAGGAGTGTACTGCACTCCATCTTGTTTTCATCAACTTGTGTTACCCCACAGTGCCTCCTCCTTTTATTCTGTATCCCATAACGCAAATGCCATAATAAAAGAAAGAATTACAAAAAAAAAAATGTCATGCAGAACTTGGATAATAACATTTTTTTTTTTTAAATGTATTCATATTTTTTATGTTTCATATATGAATATTTTATATAAAATAAAAGTTCTCTTTCTCTGGCACAAAATGATATATAATAGGTGTGGGGGCACTTAATATGAAAGAGGTACATTTTGGTTGAACAGACATGTAGTCAAATTCCAGGTTTTGTGTTGATCAGAAATTGTTTAACTGCCTCTGTCCTTAATGGGTTAAGTAAAGTATAAATGGTAATGTTCCCAATGTGCAGACCAATGACTCCAAACCAACTACTGAACCTGAAGTTTTTTATTATTATTTTATTCCCGTAGTTTCAAATTACAACTTTTCACTGCATGGAGTCTAAAACTTTATAAGCCCTACTCTCATGACAAAGACTACATTTCCCGTGAGTCACCATTCTGGTGTTTAGCCAATCAGAGCTCGGCGTCGCGTTTACAGGCGTCACCCTGTCTCTATAAATTGCAGCGGGAGGACGCAGGCGGTCTTTCAGTCGCAGCATGGCAGGGTGGAGTGTGGTTGTGGGGCCTGCCTCAGGTCGCCTACTTTATTCTGTGAGCCGGCTTGGCTATGGCTAGGTATGTCTACCATCTCTGTATCAGTAAGCAATGCTTTGCCTGGTCTGGATTAATACTCCGGTTCCTGAGGCAGTGCCGAGTACTGGCTGCTGTTATGAATCACGTGGAGCCCAGTATACTTGGCGCTGTCCTAGTATGTTAATAACTTTGTGTATTCTATTGTCTGACATGGCTCTGCAGCTTTGTTACTAAATGTTATAATCCATCTCAAACTAGAAACGTCTCTCTTTGTCATGAGATGCCTACAGGTTTACTCGGCGCTGTGTTGGCAATGGTGCAATCACTGCTACAATGTACCGCCTTCCGCAGATTTATTATTCTGGTGTCTGCCCTTACACTCAGAACTGACACCTATCAGAACACGTTCTATGTGTTGTTTTTTTTTTTTTTTTTACTAAATGTAGCCCATAGCTATATTCTGTTTATGTAACTGTTTTATATGTTCATTACTGCACCAATTTAAACTCAGGCCATGAAACTTTTGTAGACCACCTTAGTGTACCCCCTTAACTTAGGGGCTGTTAAGGATCTTGAAATAACATCAATTTTGGCAATGCGTTCCTAAAACAGGAACTTAAATAGCTAGAATCAAACTCGTGATAAATGTCACATCTTTAATGCTGCACCTTTTTTTAGGTCACGACTGAAAAAAATGACTGACTTGATTGCCTGTGAAGGTTAGCATTGGATTACTGAACTCGTGTGGAGCCAATGGACTAAATAGCTGGGATTTATTATCCAGGTATGTGTTCAGCTTCTAATGGTCCTGTACATGTCAGTGCATCAAGTGCAATACATCCCCCTTAATTGCATTTAAAACTGCATTATATTGCATAGTCATGCTTAAAGGGAAGCATAAAGGAGTTACACCATATGACAATAACTCTAAAAATTGTAACCCTTTCATAAAGTGATTAGTTTTCTTAAGTGGACTTCACATAATTCATTTAATAAGACCTTTTTGTGAAATGTGACATTACTGTCAAAATGGGATAGGAATCAGGGAAAAGGTTCAGCACTGATAAGAAACGGAGTATAAGGCAGCACACCTTAAAAAGGAATCCCCTCTGAACCCCTTAAAGTACAGTAGAAAAGAGAGAAAAAAATAAGGGTGCGCCTAAAACAAGTAAAAATGGTAAAATGAGAATAGCAGCAATAACAAAAAATTCGGAAAAATGTCCAAATATAAAAAATGGGATAACCACGGTACCTAATAGTCCAAATATAAAATGTCCAAATGCGCAAATGGTGGTCTATGGACTACTAGGACCACCATTTGCGCATTTGGACTATTGGGTACCGTGGTTATCCCATTTTTTTATATTTGGACATTTTTCCAAATTTTTTGTTGCTGCTATTCTCATTTTACTATTTTTACTTTAGGCGCACCCTTATTTTTTCTCTCTTTATTACTGTCAAAATGTCCTAAAACAAAGTAGGGAGTACTGTCACTTACCTGAATCCAGCGCCAATGTTCCTTGGTGTTGCTTTTCCCGAACTCCAGAGGCTTAATGCACATGCACAGAAAGTGCCACGTTCACAGCATGACTACTCTATAGGAAAGCATTGAATGCTTTCCTTTGGGATTTTGGTGAATGCTGGATGTTATGTAGTGAGGATATTCCGCACCAGTTTTGTGACAGTCTCAAATGACAAAGTCCCTCTAGTGGCTGTCTAGTAAATAGCCACTCAAACCCTGCAATGTAATTATTGCAGTTTCTCTAACTGCAGTATGTACAATAATGGGGTAAAACTGACAGGCACTGCACCCACACCACTTCTACAAGCTGAAGTGTCCCTTTAAGATTTTAATGACACATCAAATTGTGCTTCTATAATAAACTTACAGATGATTGTGGAGACCTGTTTGGCTGTGATGACAACTTGCCCTCACTGTGAACTTGTTCTGTGATGAGAATACCACTGTACTCAATTCTGTCTGAGCCATACTGTAGCACACAATTTTATGTATTGTAAGATAAATATGATATTAAACAATTTATTTTTGTTTTCCAGAATGTCTTCTGTCTACTCTGGTCTTTTTGCAAGAATGATTAAGGTATGAATTACTTGAGTCTACCATGGCTTATATATTCACCCCTTGGTCTGATAATGATGACAAACTTGCCCTCACTGAGAACTATGTTCTATAATGAGAACTCCAATCGTACTCAAAGCTGAAACAGACCAAGGGAAACTCTAAATGTGCTTGATTTAGAATGCAGTCTTAAATCATGACTCACTTCATAGATTATTTTTTGTTATAATCTGCAGATAGCATTAACCTTGTCTGATTTAAAGAATACAATCTGTTGCATCCCATATGACAATGTGATCATATCATTTTCATGATTTAAAAAAATGTGTGCTTTGATGCTCACTTGTAATGACTGGTAAGTCTTTTTTCTTTTAGGTGGTTATCAAGGTGTGAAGAAAATATCTGACTTGGTCAAAGAGCATTATGATCTACTAAATTTGCAAAATCTGAGTGAGGGGGATATGAGATGCAAGCACATGATCAACACTTACTGAACACATTTAATGCTCTTAAGGTCTCTGAACCATGACAAATAAAAGATGATAAATTAAGTGTTCTTTGCTTTTTAATTGAACTAGAATGTGATATTTTAATGTTTAGGCTTGCTTTCCATAGCTCTGAAATGGACATCTTGGTTGCACGATCAAACTTATCTCTAATCAGACAGTGTTTTTTTAATATATATATCTCCTCTAAGGAACTAGGGATGCCCCAAAACTTCAATGCTTTCCTATGGGGATACTAGCAAAGCTGGAAGTCACTAGTGCCTGTCTGGTAGACAATCACTAGAGAAGGACTTAACCCTGCATGGTAATTATTGCAGTTTATAAAAACTGCAATAATTACACTTGCAGGGTGATGGGAGTTGGCACCCAGACCTCTTAAATGAACTGAAGTGGCCAGGGTGCCCAGTGCCCCTTAAGATTTAGAAAACTACTTCTTAGTAGAAGCAGTCTTATTTGTAAGCTCTATAGATGAAGTATTGAGATACAAATATGGCATGCAGTGCATATCGCTCTAGAGAAAAAGAACATGGTTGGTGCAAGTAGCTATGCAGGAGTAGAGAATTCCAACTGCCTCTGCAACATCTCTAAAACTGAAGGTTTCTAAATTTGGTTAATGATTGCTAATATTGTAAAGCGCTACAGAATCTGTTGGCGCTATATAAATGGCGATAATTTTGTGGGAAGGTAAGCCTAGTTTCCAGCAGGTACTGCTAGGTCGTACAAAAGGGTTAACATCCAAGGACACTCACCATGACATGAATTGTAAAATTAGAGTAAAACATATGAATAACATAATTCACAATGAAAGGCAGTGTAGGCTGCCACTATAGTATCACTGCAGTTGTGGGATCATCTGTGCAGCTGCAACAAACTGGCAAATGTCATCAGGAACTTGAGCAGCAATGTTTTTGGAAGATATGGCTCTACAGTGTTGGTCAGCAACCCCAGTGTATGAAGGATGTTGGTAACTTCTGAGGCCTTGTAAACTTCTAAGTCCCAGCACACAGTCACATTACAGGCATGCAGTCACACACAGTTGGACAGATGGTCATAAACTCTCACAGACAGTTACCTCTTTCCATTATAGGCTCTGCCTGTGGGAGGAAGTGGAGGCACTGCAATCCCTGTAATAGTTTTTGGGAAAGCAGGGACTCCTTCCCGCTTTCCTCAGTGTGCAGCAGGTTCAGGTCACATTAAGCTTTGCGTGCCCCTCCACTGCCCATATTCAGTTCCTCTCTGGTTGACCTGGAGGATAATAGAATCCACAAGCTAGGGGCTGTGGCAACGCTACATAGCACAACCTGCAGTACAGGGGTGCTGTGTGAACCTATTACTTGGGGCTGCACAGTTCTCACACCCTGAAGGCTAGGCTCCTGTTAAGTATTGAGAATATTCTCCTTTCTATACATTGCATTCAGAAAGTATTCTGATCTCATTTTTTTTTTTTCACTTTTTTAAAATTAAATATTGTAGCTCTGTGCACCAATTAAAACAAAGGATACTAGAACACTGAGAACGGACAAAAGGTTAGAGAAACTCTGTAGCTTGCCCTTTCGTAAAAACCTGCTCAGGTCTCAATAGTTTTTGCTCACTTGTGCCAAGCATATCAGACTAATACCACCTGTAAGGGCAGTATAAAACAAATGCCAGCAAGTTCTCTATGCACAAGAAATACAGCAACCTCAGATGACTGTATTGGGCCTCGTCGGTGGGGTTTAGCTAATACCCCTCTAAGCACAGTGAGCATGGGCTCCCCATCTGGATTAGTTTTATCTTGGGGAGAGCAGTGTTAATGCATATTCTCTTGCACCCTAATTTGAAAAAAAGATTTGGAGGGAGAGAATAACTAAGGCTGGAGAAATAGAAATGGCATGAACCAGGTAATAGAATAGAGTTTATGCAGAACAAGGGAAATCCAGCCTAATGTTTTAAAATATAACCTTTATTATCTATTTAATAAAATACATCCGTAAAGTACAAACTTAAATCTAAACACAATATATTGTCATATTAGCATCAAAAACCTAAGGAAGAAATATATATCCTCTAATTTGTAAAGGTTATTATATACCACATATTGAAATGTATCTTTAACCTCTAAAAGGTGAGGTAAAGCGATGCAAGCTTGAACAGGTAGAAGACTAGATAATAAAAAGGGAGAGAGATGGGGAGGGGAGGTGAGGTAGAGAAAGAGAGTACGATACAGAGCTAATCTATACTGATACCCCCTAACCTTTCTATATCCTAAGGTTACAAATGTAACTCAGCAAAAAATAATCAATGTTGTAGTATAACTTAGAAAAAAGGAAACCGTTTCTTGCCAGAATATGTTGATAAAACGTAACTTTTATTATAGCAGTCTGTAAAATTGGTTATAGTATGGCCAGGAGGTGGCAGTATAACCACACTAGAATAAATTAAACTCTGCCTAAATGTTGCTAAGTGATTAATCACACCATATATACAGCGCTAAACATGGAAAAAAGAAAAGAAAATATACATATGTACATATGGTGGTAGCGCTAGAGCTGAGTTGCAACAGTAGAGTGCTTTCGAAGGCTCCTTGCCGGAGTTTATAGAGGTAGAGACAGGGCCGGATTAACATAGGGGCCGATGGAGCTGCAGCTCCAGGCCTAAGCCCATGGAATAGGCCCATTGATTTAAAAACTACTCTTACGGTTGCCAGGTATTTCTCAGGTATTTAAGGCTGCCTAGCCGGTACCGGTATTGCAGTAATACTGGCAATACAAATGTCAGTCTCAGTATAACCCGAGATTATTCTGCAATACTAGCGTCAGCCAGTAGGGGTTGCTGTTTGTGTGGAGAGAGGCAGGGATAAGAAGTTACAGCTCTCCCTCCCTGTCTCTCTCTACTCACTGATCTGCGTGGAGCTGCTCTGCACAGGGAGTCCAGACAGCAGATCCGAGCCTGCAGAGACAGCTCATGTAAGTGAGGGATGAGGGGAAAGGCTGCAGGGAGACACTGGGAGACATAGGGACACTGGGAGACTTGGGAACACCGAGACACTAGGGGGCACAGCCATTAGGGGAAACTGTGAGAGACTTGGGGACACAGGGAGACATAGGGACACTTGATGACACTGAGACTCTAGGGGGCACTTAGAGACCTGGGGATACTGAGACACTAGGGGAAACTGTGAGACTTGGGGACACTGGGGAAAATGGGGACCCTGAGACACTAGGGACACAGTAGCCCCATGTCTCCCAGTGGCCCCTAGTCTCCCAGTCTGTGTCCCCATGTCTCTCACAGTCTCCCCTAGTGTCTGTGTCCCCATGTCTCACAGTGTCCCAATGTCTCTAAGTGTCTCCTAGTGACATGGGGACACAGACTCTAAGGGACAATGGTAGACATGGGGATACAAACACTAGGGGACACTGGGCGACTTTAAGACCTGGGAGCTATGGGGCACTCCCAGTGTCCCCATGTCTCCCAGCCAGTGTCCCTAGTATCTCCGTGTCTCTCAGTGTCCATAGTGTGCCAGTGTCCCTAGTCTCCCAAAGTCCCCTTGTCTCTGTGTCCCCTAGTAGTAAAGAAAAAATTTCAGGCACTCACTGTGATAGATTTAAGCAGGTTTATTGGACACTGCAACGTTTCGACCTGTACCCAGGTCTTTATCACGTCTCCAGTGTCCCCTATGTATCATGAGTGCCCCATGTGTCCCTGGTGTCTCTCATTGTCCGTAGTGTCTCAGTGTCCCCTAGTCTTCCAGAGTCCCTATGTCTCACAGTGCCCCTAAGTGTCTCAGTGTCCCCTAGTATAAAATAAATAAATCTCAGGCACTCATTGTGATATATTTAAGCAGGTTTATTGGATACTGCAATGTTTTGACCTGTACCCAGGTCTTTATCAAGTCTCTAGTGTCCCCTGCGTTTCACAGTGTCTCAGTGCCCCATGTCTCCTAATGTCCCATGTCTCCTCATATCTAAAAAGTCACCCTGTGTCCCCAGGTCTCCCAGTGTATCGCAATGTCTCCCAGTGTTCCAATGTCCACTAGTGACATGGGGACACAGACACTAAGGGACTGGGAGACATGGGGACACAGACATTCCCCCTTTTTGGGTATGTTTGCCCATTTCGGCAGTTCTGTTATGTGATTTGCGTCAGTGGCCCACCCTTTTACCCCGTCCATAGACTTCCTGCTTTACTGGATACTGCTGTTAGAGGGTATGGATTTACTTGAAAGATGAAAGCGTGAGACTAGCATAGGGTATGTGTTTTCTCATAGCTGCATCCTATGAGTTTCCCTCAAGCACCATCTCCATCATGACGCTTGGGAAGTAGGCCTATTTTAGTGTTTTTGGTCAATAAGATTTTGTAATTAGGCCCATCATAATTGTCAGCACAAGGCCCATTGGGCTCTTTATCTGGCCCTGGGTAGAGATAGCTATCTCTTATAAGTGTCCTAGTTAACTGTTTTCCTACTAAAGTACAAGTTGATACCGCTGCTAGTCTTTAGCTGATCTATGCCTTCGAGGGCACCTCTGTTTACCTAAGGTAAACAGAATCTAGCTGTCACCATTAAGCAGTATATAAGTGCTTTAAAAAGATGAATCAAGCTGCTTGGTTTTGTAAACTGTTCTGTGCTGAAAAGAGTTAACTTCCTGTCACTAATAGAACCGTATTATGCCGGTCTATGATACTTAAACTATTCTGTGCCTTCAAGGGCACCTATTATAGTTAAAGTTTATAGTTAACTTGCTGTAGCTAGTAGAGCAGTATATGTTGGTCTGTGTACTCGTGTTCGCCTGCGTCTGAAGGATACAATTGCCGGAGGTCTCTTACACGTGCAGGTAGCATGGAGAGATGAATCACAGAGTCTGTTATTCGGTCTGCAGGTTAGCCACAAGTACTGAATGAATGTTGTAATATAAGAACAATAAAACAAAAATTATAATAAAAATGGATTAATCTCTGTGTTGTATCAAATCTAATTGCTGAATATCAAGCATCGTAGCACTTTTGGAGGTGAATTTCCATACACTACACCACCCCATGTCCAAAATAATCACACACAGAGTGTAGAAGTCCCTTGATGGCGTGTTGGCACACTCAGACTTGTTTCTGATTGTGGCAAATCCTCTCATGTCACCGTCTTCCACAGTTCGTGTGGAAGTAACTTGACAACCACTACATCCCCATTAAGAACTCGGTTTCTGGACATTACACCATCAATAAACATGTCCCTTTGTCCAGGCGGTGATGGCAGAAATGCCGCATGAAACTTCTGGGGATTAATCCGCAGAGAACCCTGTATCACCCGCTGCAGCCCTGCAGACACTCCTTCCTTTGTCATGTATGCCTCAAAGATGTTCTTTTTCCTTCGTTTGCCATGTTTTTTTATCAGAGCTGGAGCCAATATTTCGATTTGCACCTCTTGGATATCAAGTCTGCACCAGGCTCATTATATATTCTGTACTCTGCATTGTCTCAGTTTGTGACTCTGATAACTGTCAAGGCCGGTTTTTCTGTTAAATATATTTGCAATGGTGTCACAACATCACTTCTCCCTACACCACTAGATGTCATATTTTCATATTTTTCAATTGAATTTGTAGATGGGGATTGGTAGTGGTTTGAGGCATTACAGTAACAATGTTTTGTTATGCAGAGGAATACAATAATTGTAATAAAATGGTAATAAGAAAACATAACACTTTAGCTTGCATCATAGCATTAAAACTATCATTTATTTCTACTTTACCAACATAATCTGTGGTGCTAGTTGCATTGCTTAACAAAATGACAAACAGAAACAGATTTATGAAGTACATTTCAGAAACTTGTCCATACATAAGATTACAACTTAAGGGGAAATGTGGACAAACACAATGTACAGATAAAGTTATACTTTATATGGAAATATCCAAGTTTTTTTTTATTTTTATTATACTTCTAATTATACTTACTTCTATACTTAATATATATTTATGTGTCAGGTGTGAAAAATGTAATTAAATGTAGAAATCCACACTAGTGATGTACCGAACGGTTCGCTGGCGAACGGTTCCCGGCGAACATAGCATGTTCGCATTCGCCACAGCGGGCGAACATATGCGCGGTTCGACCCGCCCCCTATTCGTCATCATTGAGTAAACTTTGACCCTGTACCTCACAGTCAGCAGACACATTCCAGCCAATTAGCAGCACACCCTCCTAGCAGACCCTCCCACCTCCTGGAAGGCATCCATTTTAGATTCATTCTCAAGCTGCATGCTTAGTAAGAGGAGGGAAAGTGTAGCTGCTGTTCATAAGATAGGGAAAGCATAGCTAGGTTAGAGATAAGGGTATGCTTTTTTTGGATTTTTTTTTTCTA